TCTATCAGCCTTAAAGTCTTGATGCTAAACTTAGATTTTACTGTCATTACGCCGTATTCTGTCTCTTGGCATTTACTTGGAGGTCTGTGAGGTGAAGGTCCCCAAAGTTCTTCCGCTCACAGAGAAGAGCAGCAGGTTGAAAGGGAAGATGAGGTCGATTTCTGCAGGATGCTCAGTGGCGCCAAATCAGGGCTTTGATCTGTCATGTTAGCGAAGAATGACCCAACTCTATAAGCAGTGGGCATAAGCTAACATTTAAAATAAAACCTGTTTGTTGCTGATTTCTCTTTTTGGGTGAGGAATGTATGTTCTGGTTCAACCTCTGCAATCTCCTTTGAGTTTGAACAAAATGCAGCGGCAGGACCCTCTATTTCCATCAGCTAGAGGAAGATGAAAATTTTTGTGTTTAAATATCTGATTTTTTTTTTTTCTTTTTAATTAAAATTATGTTTTCTGAGTCTTGGATTTCAACTGTTCGTATTTAAAAAAGATTTTCATACTGACAGATTAAAACAATAAATAAAATGGGAAATATTAGTTCCTCCTGCCCACCTCCTCCTAAACCCACATAATATAAACATTATTTTATCTGCATATCTAGATGTTTGTAATATTCTTTACCATTTGGGGGATTTATTTAATCCTATATTTAGCTTCTACAAAAATGCTGTTTATGAAAGTTTCTTTTCTTGTATTGCTGCCACGTGCTTTTAAATAAGCCCTGTTACTGATCAATAAACTACATATTAAAATCAGAAAAAAAAAATAAATGTAAAATCTTTGCTGATTTCTGGGTTATAATTATAAAAAAGGATGATTTTTTTTAACTTCTTCTTCTCCTCCTTTTAGGATTGTTGAAATCTACAGCCGTCGATTACAAGGTAGAGTTTATTTAACTTTTTTAGCGCTATTTATAGTGAAGTTTTGTCAACATGTCATATTTCTCCGTAGAGGTTTAGGAGGCCATATTGTGAAGGACCTTGTGAGAGCCGCCCTATAACATGTTTTTACTGATTACCGTAATTAAAGACTCCCTCTATTCAGAGTGTGGTAAAATTAATGATCAAGAGTATTTGGATTAAAGATAAATCAATTTCTTAAGTGTTTCGAAAAAATGTATTCTGCTGAGAGAATAGGTAATTGCTTTCTCGACACCTTCAGGTTGAATCTTTATTCATATGTAGGATATTTTAAAAAGAAAGCAGTCAACTAAAGCAACCGGGGGTATGCATACCCCTAGTGGCCTACGAGTGCATTGCAGGGTGTACATGAAAATATTTTATTTATAAAGTATTAAAATATAATAGGGCTGGGATGTGTTTTGCTTTCTGAGGCCCAAATCGAAAATTTAAACAAGCTTTTATCAACCTAAAAGAAAGTTTTTCTTATGTTTGAGTTCACCTTTAGCTGTGAAACACATCCAAACCAAGCAGAGGAACAGACTGGATGTAGAGAACAGCCTGGGATCTGCTGTTTTTCACACTGAGCTATCAGAGCTCATCAAAGCAGCTCAGGGGAAAACTAATAAAAACTAAGTCAGTCTGACTGTAAATTATGTTCTGTATTTTGTTCACAATTAATCAATTTTAAATGTAATTATAAGTGAGTTACTCAGAGGACCTCAAGTTTTATAAATATAGGTCTATAATATGATCTTATTATGTATTTTTTTTCAATTCCTTACTAACTTCCAGGCAACATAATTATGTTGTTTTTGTTTGAGATGGAAAGCATAAAATGCCTAAGAATTAAATGGTAAAATTAATAGATTATGTAAAATGTTTTTAATTTAATAATCAGTTATTCTACATTCCACTTTTGGACAATCAATACTTTAGGGGTACTCAAGGTAAGACAAAATTCACAAAGGGGTACACAAGTCAAAAAAGTTTGAGAAAACTGGACTAAAGAACCAAACCACTCAGATTGGGTGTTTTTGATTGTTTGTACTATATGTCCTAAAGGTGCTGACATGAATGCATTGACATACTGTGTGTGGGTTTGTTTAAAATGTCCTATTTCATGTATAAAATGGTGCTGTGTACAGGAGGATGTTTCTATGGATTGCTGCCATCCAGACTGCTCACCTTTTAAACCCTGAAACAAGCACATTAATCCCAGCCTCTAACATTAGTCTCAGTCAGCAGGCACAACAAAATCTTCATAATTAATAAATCAAGCATAATAACAAGACACTGTTTTTTCCCCCAAATATTTTTTGTGATTATATGAAGCCGAATCCATTTGATGATACATGATTAATTTCATTGATTGCATCTCCCATTTAGATGATGCTTAACTGCTACTTTAATATTTGGGGAAAGTTAAGGTGTGGCTTTTAACAGGAGTTTGTGACCTAGTTTCTTTACCTAAGTGGAAAATGAAGTAAAAGCAAGGTTAGTTTAAGTGCAATGATCTGTGATCTGTTGTTTGTTCTCACTGTTTGCATTTCTTGGTTTGTATGTCTGTCTTGTGTTTCTCCAGTTCAGGAGAGGTTGACCAAACAGATCGCTGTGGCCATCACCGAGGCCCTGCAGCCCACTGGGGTCGGAGTTGTTGTCGAGGCAACGTATGTTTCTCTCTGCAGTTTTTCTTTTTTTTTTTTTTAACTAATGGCTGTGGTCATCCTAGCTAAAATGAAACGTTTTTGTTGCTAATTCATTCAGAATTACCTTTCATATAACTCCTGATTGTTTCCACCTGAGCTAAAGACCTCTGCAGCTCCTCCAGATTTACCAGGAGCTTTTTTTTTCTGCTTCTCTGAATTTTCCTCATTTGGCAAGTTATTCTAGCCTGAGTGCCATTCCAAATTTAGTCCCGCCCACAACGTTTGAGGTTGGGAAGTTCGGTCTGGCATTGCTCAATAGTAGCGCGAGTATGCTTGCACAATATCTAGCGGGCCAATCAAATTGTCAGGGCGGGCTTTATACGGTGATGGACAGATGATCAACAGTAATGTAATCAACCACGTCACCAAAGCGCGCTTGAGTGACAACAACAATGGCTGCCGCTGGAGAGTTGAGGTGTGTAGATTCTGCTATTAGGTCTGTTCTAGAAGATATAGAGAGCAAATTAATTTTAAAAGAGGAACAGAGAAACGCGATTAAGGCGATTAATTGTTATTCTAGGCGTGCAACACCACGCTTTGATTTTTGTTGACAACAACTATGCGTCGCTTAACATGCGTCACGCACTCCTTTGCTCTTATTGGTTGTAGGTCTATCCAATTGAGTGCAGAGGCATTTTTTTTCCTGGTTCGTTCGAAACACGCCCCATAATCACAGCTCTATGGAGCAGTATCAGACTCATATTCTGACTAGAATTGAGTAGGACTAAGTCAGGCTAAAGTTATTCAGCTAAAGGACCACAATGTTTTGACTCCAAATTTGGCTGCCATCTTGTTCTGTTTTAGCATTCTTCCTGTTCATCCTAAACAGATTTTTCTTTCTGTCTGTTCTTTCTTAAATAACGCTTTTCTTCTGCTCTGGCTCTCTGCAGTCACATGTGCATGGTGATGCGAGGCGTCCAGAAGATGAACAGTAAAACTGTTACCAGCACCATGTTGGGGGTCTTTAGGGAAGATCCAAAAACCCGTGACGAATTTCTGACCCTCATTCGAAGCTGAAGAGCTCCTTCTCTTCCTCCTCCTCCTGTTGCCTGGAGTTACCTCCACCTGCACGGACCACCTGCCGTGCTCGCTGTATGTGTGTGTGTTTGTGCGTGGGTGTTTCCGTCTCACTGAACACGGTGGAAAGGTGTTCGCTCTGTGTTTTTGTTGACTCTGTAATGACCTGATGAAGCGGCGTTACCTCGATGATTTGACCTGTTTATTCTCACACAGTGAAACAGATTTTACTCTTTATTTTTTCTTGTATATTTTGTCTGTTATTGTAAACTAACAGTTACAATAACAGACAAAAGTCAGTACAGCAGTCACATTTCCGTTTGAATATTATTTTATTTTAAAGACTGAATAACCTTTGATTTACTGTCCCCTCAAAAAAAACAACAAAAAAAACCATCACAGAACCATTAATGCCTGCTGGCTTGTAAAAAAAAAAAAATGTAAATCCCTTTATTGTCCCACAATGGGGAAATACACCTCTGCATTTAACCCATTCCCTTGGGGAGTAATAGGCCGCCATTGTGTGGCCCCTGGGGAGCAGTGTGGGGTTAAGGTTCTTGCTCAGGAACCCAGAGTGCAGACTGTGGGGATGGAACCGGGTACTTGCAAACTTCTCAGAGCATAAGTGTACTGCTCTAACCCACTAGGTCAACACTCAACAAAGTGAGTACACTTCTATATAATAAAGTCCCATTAAAGAATATTTATAAAGATGTGGGGTGTACATGCATACATCTGAGTCCTATGTAAAAAGAGGAATTTTAAAAAGCAATTTGCAAATCCTTCAGAAGCAGGAATTCAGTTAAAATAAAGTAAATCTTTTTTTCACATTTTCATTTGCAGTGTACCACTGACATAGTAACTGTTCTACTTTAACTAAAGTTCCTAATACTATTGTTAGCATTAGCATGCTCAGGAGGCACAGCTCCAGATATTTTATCGTCTATTTTGACTGATTTAGTGTGGTCTACCATTTCAGTATACTCACTATGCTACCATCTTTATATTTAATCAGAAGAAGAAATTGTGTGTGTATATATATATATATATATATATGAATAAAAAAATACATGAACAAATTTGATAATATCAAAGTTATCACAGTTCGCAAACTTCTCAGAAAATCCTATTTTGAGAAGAGTACCTTAATTTCTGGTGTGTTAATGTCTTTCTAACAGAGCACACTTTAAAACCATAAAGTATATGGTTTACCAATTTTAAAACTGAGCTGTCAGAAGCAGAATATTTTCCAATTTAAACTTTTTTTTCCCAAATCAAAATGGTGCAAAATGCATAACCATCAGGCATCTGGAAGCAACACCTTCTTTTTATGGTGAACATGTTTCAAACATGTTCACATTTTTTTTTTTTTTTTTCCTGTGTGAGAAACTGCCTTTATCTGCCAACCAGCCTCTGCATTAAAAACCAAAAAGGTATCTTTTCTCTACATAAGGCTGACTAAATATATTTGTGTGTGTTTTCTTCATCGTTTTCATCCTGGCAGTTGAAAAGTTTGTGTTGTTGAGTGACGTTTGTGTTTATGGTGCAACACGTTGCTGCACTTAAGTGCATCATAAGGATCGCTGCCTGGTTTTAATTGTTTAAGTGGATTTGTCTGTGAGATGGTGTGTGTGTGTGTGTGTGTTTGTGGTGATAGAGAGAAGATGAATGCTAAGAGAAAAAAAAAACTAATTGTTTTTGTGGCCTTGTTTATTCATTGTGCTTATTTTAAAAAATAACTTTTTAACAATCAAAGATAATAAAAGTATTACAACTGAGACTGAATCTGGATTATTTTTATTCCTCTCACCAGATGGAGACCCAAACTAAGAAAGATTAATACATTGTTTTTACTATAGATAATTTAAGCAGTCTACAAAGAAATATTAGCACTTCATTTTGGATATTTGCAAGATATTTTAGAAAAGGAAAGCTATAAAATGAGATTTGTTACCTGGCAAACCTTACTGAGGCACAAAGGAGCATGGTGAATACTAATATGCATTTAGGAATAAAAGTAAAGCAATGCAAAGACTATCAAAGGAGGACCACTCCTACTGTTGCCCCCTTGTGGTCATAAACAAAACTGCAGTTAATAATAAACCTTTGGTGTGGTGTCAACATGTTTTTACGTTTCTGGACTGAAGAGATTGTTAATAATTTCCCAAGTCTTTCACAAACAAAGGTGTCGAAATTATTTCAAGATGCTGGAAGTCAACTGAGTGAAGTCAGGATTCTGTTCCATTTTATTTTTTCTTTAATGAATAACCTGTTGGTTTAATTAATTTCAGTGTCTATAATTCAACTGGTCCCATGGATTATAGTCAAGTGGAGTTACCTTAAAGTCTTCTTAAGTTTGCTCCAATGACTGGCCAAGTCTTTGTCACTTCTCTCGGTCCGTCTCAAAGAAAGCTGTCATGTTTGTTACTCCATGTGCCTAAAAAACATGGAGCCTTATGTAGTCTTAAGAAGATTCTAGATTGCAGAATCAGACACTTCCATTTATAGTTTTGCCAGATTTTCAGTTTGAATCTATGTGCAAAGTTTTTTTTAATCAATATCATTTTATTCTCAACAAGACTTTTCCTTGTTTAAAAAGATGCATTGAACGCAACATCTGCTCTATAGCTAAAAAATAAAATGAAAATAGTCATTTTACTTTAGATACCTACACAAACAGACAACTGGAGGCCTTTTGTTTGTTTGTTTTTATATAAATCGGGGTCATGCCAAATCACAGCATACTGGTACAATACAGAAAAAGTACAAAACACATCAAAACACATCCTGATCATCATTTTTACGCCGCTGTCACATTTTAGTTTGTGTCTGAAGACCATAAAGATTCAACAGGTACCAACCTGTTAAAGCAGCTGGGTTCACATTCACGCTCTTTTTTTTTTTTTTTAACTCATAAAGGGAGCTGAATTGGTTTGTAAAAAAATAAAATTAATGGAACTTTGATATGCATTCAGACTACTGAAAGTAGGATTTATTACTTACATAAGCATTTGCAAAGCTCATCAATTGTCAGCTTGTTTTAAAGTACATCAATTAGAATTGGATGATCACTGCAAAGGAAATTAATTTAAACATTTAGTTGATGTTTTAATACTGTCAGCTCTCTAAAGTCAACACTTTTGGGGCCTAGTTTCTGGAGATATGGACAAATTTCATTCTAGATCCACTCAAGTGGGGCATTTAACTGAATGTGATAGTTGTGCAGCATGAAGGTGATCCCTGCTCAGCTGTAACTTTCTCCCAATACGGTAACATAAAGACCATATTTAACCTTTTACATTTTATGATGATGTTGATGTGTCAAGTATACAAAAAAAAGGCACTGCCATTTGTTATTCTAAATATGACTTTCCCAGTCTTGTGCATGCAGTTTAAAATATAAATACACTTTTTTCCAAATTTTAATTTCCTAGATTTTTTTTTTTTTTTTTTGTCAAATTTTTATTATTAAACATACATTTACTTTTTTTCCTCAAACATATAAGTAAGCCTGCAGTCAATACAGGACATCGGCTCTTTGATAAAATAAATCTAAATGAAGTAAAAGGAGCACAGTCAAGCAGTAAAACTTTGTTACAGACAAGATTTCTCTCCATACAAAAAAAAAAAAAACTAGAGACAAAAAAAAAAAAAAATAGTCCTTGCATTTAAAAAATAAAAACCGATTTGCACAATCTACAAAAAGAAAAAAAAAAGCATATGTCTCAAAAATGAAAAAACAATAAATTCTTTTGGAATATCAAAGCGTTAACATTAATACTGCTTGCGTGCACAGCGCGGAGAGTAACGGAGCTGATTTGGTTTTAGTTGAAGAGATGATCAATGATCCTGAGCTCCAGTTGTTGCACAGCGGAGCCATAAATACCATTCTACCCTCTCAAACAATGTCACCTGATGAAAGTGGCAAAACAAATGATGTCCCTAAAGTCTCTTTGAAAGAGAATTTGTTGTTTATATGCAAAAAAACTATCAGGAATATGATTATATCTAGCAAATAAATCAAATTGATGACCAACTGCATGCCTGAATGAAACAGACTGCCCTTCTGCAACTGATCAAATTGAGTTAATCCGTTGCTAAAAATAGTCCTAAACTTCCTCTGCTGTTTTGAGTTTAACATTTAAATCTCTCCCAAACTGGACTCTTGCTTATAACAATAGATCTCAGCTCATCTTGGATTTATTTTCTGTCTAAATGCAAACTAAAACCCAAAGTTGAAGGGCTTTCCATTGGCCGACTCAGCTCTCTGCTGCGCTCAAAGCTTCAAATATGAAAAAAACAAAAAAAAAACAAATCCCAAATACAGATCAACAATAAAAATAAACAAGTACAAAGAAAATGACTATGTTAATATTTGAGATGTATGTATGGTCACCAGCCATAACATGTTAACACTTATAGTACTTTAAATAATAAAACACTTGAAAGATCAGTTTTACCTCTGCAGGAAACATGGAAAACAAAAAGGAAAATAAATAATTTGTTTCTACTTTTAAGGACTGAAAGATAAATGGCAGTGAAGCTAAGAGAATATAAAGAGATCCTGATCTTTTCAAAAAGGCAGAAACGTGTTTCCTATCCATTCATGGTTAGGAATTCAGATTAACCGGAGATGTAAAAACATAAACATTTAACATGTAGTGTGTGAGCAGATCCAGACTGGAGTATTAGTCGGGTTTCTCTGGATCTGAAGGAACTTTCTGCACATTTTCACCCCTTTAATACAAGAAACATGCCAAGCTGTAACACCGTTAAAGCGTTTAAGTTTTAGAGCACAACCGTTAAGATAAAGGGCCAGGATTGTTGCTACAGCTTTTAGCCACCCAGACAACAAATCATTTTATAATGGTGCAACATTGCATCAAAAACAAATAGGAAAAGATTTGAAGACTATCGCCCCTGCAGGCAGATACTAAACATCCCTGCTGAAAATGAAGCAGCACTCCATCCTATTTCATACACTGTTCAGGCACAAGCTGCACTTTCTGTAAATACCATATGCCACATTCCATGTAGGTATTTGTTCTTCTCTGCTGATGTTTGTTTCCTTTGTTTTGCAGTGTTTTTAATTCCTCTGTGTGATATATATGCTTTATATATAGTGGGATGACAACAAACCTTTAACGACGATTGATTTTGATTGATTTCTGATAATCTATATATGTCAAAAAAACAAAAACAAACAGGTTTATACCTTGTAGTCAAGTCATTTGTGATATTTAAGGCAAACTGGGTATCTCTTTGCAATGAAATGTGGCTTTTTATTGGTTCCGTTTAAGTATTTTGGACAAAGACTAACTAAGTGAAGCTGCCTTCATCAGCAAAAATGTATCTTAAAGGACCATGCAGGAACATGTGTTCCCTGCTAATTCATATACGAGTGGGAAAAGCAAACCTGGCATTAATATCTCCTCAGGTTACCCATTTCTGGCTACACTAAAATCACTATTTTGGACAAACTAATGATTTAAAGTGTTCCAGCTCCATTAAGGTTAGGCAGGTTTTACAATTGAAGGACCAGATAAAATTAGCTTCAAAACTAACACAAGATGGCAGCGGAAAACTTCCCTAAGAGCTGATGAAAATATTTTTATTGATGAATTTTAACTCATAATAGTATCTTTTTTTCCCATAGGAAGCTGGTTAATCAATTATTTAACTTTGACACACAGTGATTTGGGCTGTTTCTAAATCAGAATAATGGTCTCTCCCCAGACGTCTTCCCAATCAGTGCCCAAAGTCCAGCATCAGGATTCCTTAACTAATATAAAATGTGTCCAAGATGATCCATCACAAACTGCTTCCCATGCTTTCACACCTCAATCTAGCAACATCCAGGTCCAATTGGATCACCCAGGACAAAGTTTGCGGCCATTTTTTAGAGCACTGGTTTGTTTCTGGGTTTTCTTTTGACACATTGATCCATGCGACTCGTAAAAAAAGCCTGAATACTGATGATGATACGTAAAAAGTATTTTTATCTCGAGACTTCAAGTTTAGGCAAAGAGAAATCCTTTATGGCTAATGAAAACTCCTAAACAGCCCAGTTGCTTTAACATAGGAACATTTGGACTTAAGTGTTTAACATTATTAAGTGCAGGAAACAAAATAAATGCAACTAAATTACATCAAAACAAAAAAACCCCTAATTATTAAGAAACTAAAGAAATTGATTAGGGCATGGGTACCTTACCAGCAACCTAACCAGCTTATTTGAACATAGCCTTAAAGTATCTGTTTTCCAGATGGAAGCACATAGGGATGAACGTTAATATGAAACAACCAGAAAATTCGATTAAAGAATAATAATGAAGAAAATATTTCCTATTAAGGCCTCTGTTGATTAATTCATCAAAGATACAGGCACACCCACAATCCTTTCCTTCTAAACATGCCAGCAGTATCTACCCTGCAGTGACTGCGTCTGACCAGCAGGTGGAGGTAGGCACTCAGACAATCTCTGGGAGAACTACCCTTCATAGATTGACAGGTTGCTCTTTCTATTAAGTTTTCACCTTTTTCCTTCACTCAAATATTCATTTGTCACATGCAGCTCAAAGAAATCACCCTGTTTTAGAGAACCCAACATCCCAACATGCCTGGATCGTTTCCCCAGTTAGAAATACATCGACATTCCCTTTCCCTGTTTAGATTTTCCTGTAAAGATTTAGTTCAGAGAACAAGTTTTGAGTGAAAACAACTTATCCACTTCCTCCTACCCTCACTCACACGATATCATCCCCATCCGTCATCTTCAGAGGTCCGGCCTCTTAAAACATCCGCTTCCCCTCTTAGCATCACTTCAGCTCATTTCTTTCCTCTACCACATTCTACGTCCTTCTCCGAACCACCTTCCTCCATGTCTGCTCCAGTTCCTCCCATCATTCTCTTAGCTAAAAGATCAGCACTAGTCAGCATTTTTTTTCTTATATTAAGAAGCTAAGATAAAGAACAAGGACATTCATTGAAAACTAGTTTGATGGCTGCTTGTGGGATGTAAAGCTTTCCATACGTAACTACCTTATATGAATACATGTCTCTGTACCCTCTGACAGTAGCATCTTCATGTAAACAATACAGACACGTCATGTGGATACATGTTATCAGCTGAATACTTGGAGAGATGTGATGCTCACTTCTACAAACATCTGCTCAGAATGTTCAGATCTCTCTGAAATGAGTCCAAGAATCGCCAAACGTCCCGCTGCATCCTCGCTGCTCTGCTCGTCTTACTCTGAGGTAACGTTAATGAAGCCAAAGACACCATGTTGATCTGGTCGTTGCGCCAGATGATGTCCTACTGAGACCTGATCCACAGGCCATCGTCTCCCTTCCACAAGCCTCCACAGGTGTGTGGAGCCGGGGGGGGGCTATGCTCATGCTCTGTCCAACGTTTGTTTTAATACTTTCTCCAACTGCAGATTCAGGTGACCAAGCATGCTGGCAGAGCAGGAAGGTAGTTTCTTTTATTCCGACCCGAAGGATGATGGGTTGTGTCAGCCGTTTGCAATCAGCCTGTGTGCGTCTCTTAGGTCCTGCCTGCTCCGTTGGTTGAGCTCTACCATCAGCTACAAGGAGGGGGGGAGGGGGAGGACCAGTGACCTTCAGGTGGCTTATAGGAGAACCCGTTCCATCCTGATGATCTCATATTGTTGATGTGCGATCAGCGCCATCTAAGAGGAGAGAGGACATCAGGATTTCACTTCTTAATCTACATCACAGCACAGATTCAAAGATCAGGAGGAAGTATAGCAGCTTCAGACTCTGGGAACTAACCTTTTCTCTGTATCACCCAGGGCATGCTGGGACAGGCTACAGCTGGGGCAATGAATGAGTGAGACACCCAAGCAGCACAGCTAATCAGATCCACCCAGTGTGATCACTAGTTTTAATAGAACCATATCCTGATTGGATTTTAACACTAGGACTCCCAGAATTCTGATCCTACTAGAACTCCCACTGGCCGTCATTTTGATGGGTGACATTTTTCTCAATGGAATGCATGAGTAGTGATGATGGTATCAACTGAAATGGTTCTAGTGTGCGATATAAACTCACTGTGGATATGTAGACCTTAAAACAAATATATATTTTTCAAAGGCTTCATTGTATGCTGTTATTATTTGTGGTCTAAATTTGTATTAAAAATAAATCCATAGAGTAAGACTGTTTCACTACACAGGTTTGAAATTTGAAATTAAAATTTTGTTTACAGAAATTGATTGATTCCCCCCAAATATTTCCTGCAGAACATCTTTTCACATTTATGACAAATGTAATATGAGTGTTTTTTTTGTGCAGCGCTGAAGCCCCTGGTGCTGTTTTCTGTGCCTCGCCAAAGCTGCTCTACAGCGGCGGAGGGGCTGGAAACCTGCGGTTTGCCCGCAACTGTTTTACCAGTTCAAGGATAAAATCTTTGCGTAAAAAAGTGACATTCAAACAGCTCCTGAACAAAACCAACACGTTTATAGCTGATATTTCCAGGAGATCATAAATTACAGCCACAGGCCACCTTCCCATCGGAGCTTTCAGAGAATCCTTTCTAATCATCTGATCCAACACATCCACCCCGACCTGTGTGTGATTATAGTAGACTGCGGGCTCTGGTTTGACTTTTGGGTGGATGTGGACCGGCTGATGTGGACCGGCTGATGTGTGGGCAGTGCTTGAACAAAAGTTTCACTATTGTCTGATGGCTCACTGATACGTCTGCGTTTTCCCGGGGGTGGGTGATCATCCTTAGACTTGCTGTGAGAATCTGAGTCACTTCCTACCCAGTCCTCCTCATCGGTCCCCCCCCACCGCCCGAATCGCTATCATCAATATTTTGAAGCATTTCTAAAGCCTGTTTCGCAGTTAGATTTCTTCTGAAAGCCGCTTTCTCCGTGTTAGCCAAAATATTCCAGGTAGAAAGTTGGTTGCTAGGCAACGGTACCGAATGTCAATCAACCGCGGGAAGAATTTACAATGCAACTAATAGAGCCGTCAAAATGACGGCTGTGGGAGATCGAGGTAAAATTAACCATATTTATTTTTAACGTTTTAATTTTATTAGGAAAACTACAAGAACATCAAGGAAATATAAAAACAGAAAAAGTCAGTTGAAATGAGCAACATAAGATGAATTTTAAATATAGTTCTTTCCCTTTAAAATCTCAGAACCGTCAACATCACGGCCTTGGGAGTTCTGGTGTTAAAGCACATTTGGCTACAGATCCCTCTGCACCAGAGGGGCCGATAAGCAGAGATCATACCATGAATAAAAAACAAGCTTTGGTTTAAAAACAGTCAGCTGGTCACTATTCTTACACAAGATTAGTAAGGTTAATATTTGAAAAAAAAAAAAAAAAAAAAAAATCAAGATTTTAATCAAGAAACATCCTCACTGCAAGAAAACTGAGTTTTTAAGGTAATTTTTTTTTTAATTTTTACTTCAAATATAAATTTCATCTTCTTTTCATGACAGTTTGGTTACGGTCAATATGTACTGTATGCATCTAGGAAAATAAAGTAAGCATTGCTATCAGACTAGGGCTGTATTTAAAAGGTACCAAGAGATTCCAACCTTGTTTTGTTGGGAGGAGAATTTGTCATTACCTCTAGAAAAAAAACATAATTTTTCTGAACTCATTTAGTGATAACAGGTCAACTAGGTCCATAATTTAAATAAAACAAGATTTGGAGCTCACCTTGTCATCCAATTATCTTAATTTAAGATAAAAAAAAACAAACAAACAAAAAACAGTTCGATTTGCTGTGACAGTAGTTTAATGAAATGAGCATCTTCAGATGGAACCAAAACACTGACACAGTACTGCTGTTTAAAGCCTTTCTATAATCAGAGAAAATCCGATTATAGAACATTGAAGCCTAGAAATGCAGCTGTTCTTCCATATTGTATTTTAACTTTCTTCTATTGTTGCCATTATTGTTATTCATTATCTAATTTGGATAAGGTAAAATGTGTCGACGGCCTGTAGATTCACTGATCTGGTAAACAGCAAGGGGCCTAAACAGTCCTGCTGAGAACGACGCATCTGTGAAAATACTGATAGGGCTATTTGGAGAAAAACAGTCTGACAGCTGCTGCCTCTCATGGAGGACATTTTTATTCCAACAAAATAAAACCACCCTTATGATACAGACACTGTGTGTTTCATGTAGTTGGAAGTGTTTTACAAAGCAGTGGGAGTTTTATGAACTGGTCTGTTCTCCCCACATTAGAAATAAAACCAAAAGCCGTACCTCCTAAAGCGTGCTCCGTCATACTCAAACACAAGGACTCCAGACGATTGTTTATGTCCGGCTCCGTCACTGGAAACTGATGATCTGGGAAATGAACAAAATGTAGAGTTTAATTTGGGGAAAAAAAAACTTCTTTAAATTCTCCAACGTGATAAAATATATAATCATTACAATGTCAGTCCTTATCACAATGAGTTTAAATAATTATTTTTATTATCAACAAAATTATTAACTAGTGTAATTCTTATCAATCTTATTGTACTTATTTTCATTTCATCATTATTAATAGCATGGTAATGAATAACATCCTCAACATCATCATTTTAGTCATTATTAATACTTATTTTATTAATATCTATCATCCTCCACCCAATGATTGTTCTTATAGTTCTTAAACATTATTAAGGCTGCAGCTAACTATTATTTTGCAAATCAATTAATCTGTCAATAATTTAATCAAGTAATCAATAATAATTGAAAATCCTTTTTATGAAATTAAGCCAGGTGAAACTAAAACTTGAAGAGTTATAGACAGAGCATACTGACAGACAAAAACATTTGTTTTTATCTTAAATGCAAAATATTAAAAAATATATATATATATTTTTTTACAATTTTGGTATAATTGCTGCTCAAGGTGGGTCGCTCTGTCAGCTGAAACCCGGTTTTAGAATATCTATACTCTAGTTAACGATTAATCAATTACTAAATCAGTTGATTTTTTAAATTAATCATGATTAATCTCAAGGTTCTGGGCTCGATTCCCAGCCTGGGGTATTTCTGCATGGAGTTTGCATGTTCTCCCTGAGCATGCGTGGGTTCTCTCCGGGTACTCCGGCTTCCTCCCACAGTCCAAAAACATGACTGTTAGGTTAATTGGCTTCTCTAAATTCTCCTTAGGTGTGAGTGTGAATGGTTGTTTGTCCTGTTTGTCTCTGTGTTGCCCTGCGATGGACTGGTGACCTGTCCAGGGTGGACCCCGCCTCTCGCCAGTAGACAGCTAGAGATAGACACCAGCAACCCTCGTGACCCCACTTGAGATTAAGCGTGTAAAGAAAATGGATGGATGTATGATTAATCTCATGAAATGTTTCAGCCCTAAACAGATTAGCCGTATTGTTGTCAACACTTTTGTTGTCGAATTATCACCATAATTTTTAAATTCAAATCCTTTTTCATGTTTAATAAAATTTAAAGGGGCCTTTTTCACTTATTTAAAAGGTGATTTTAGTCATTTTCACCATAAAAAGCCAAACATCTCATATTTAATAGCATCTTTTTTTTATGTAATTTAAAAGTTTAACTATTTTCTATATGTTTCACTGTTTAACAGTTAAGTAAATGTGATGTAGAAGCTTGACTAAGTTTATTTAAGTCAAAGACTTGGAGCTGCCTTGTTTTCTTTTTTTAAACCCACAGGTGCTAAAAGTCCATGACCGGGAGGACTGGGTGGAGACAGTTTGGTAGAGAGCTGCCTTCAGGCTGGAGTGCATAGAGATGAATGTAGGGTGTGTATTTAAGACTCAGCGCAGCCTAGCAACCTCTAAGACATCTAGTCTTGAAGCGAGACTTCGACACAAACTGGATAGTGAAAAATCTCCTGTGGCTAGGAGCACAAAACCTGTGTAAAGGTCCATGCAGGACTATTTATAGCCTCCAAATCCCACCATCATCCCTCTGCCAACCCCTAAACACAAAGACACACTATGAACACAAAAAGACAAGTACACACACTCATGCTTCTGCCTGCATTCTCTAATTTTATGAGTGTATATGTTCTTTATATATCTGTTGGTAGGGAGATGGGAAGATCTGGAATAAAAACAGATGAGGGGGCAGGGGGACGTCTAGCTTTTCACGTCTACTCTGGCTCCGACCCAACTACAGCCAGCCTCGGCGAATACTGTTGTGTGTGCATGACTCTGCAGAGTCGACAAATAAAGGGCAGCAGGGGGGGGGAGGGATGCTAGTAACAGAGGAATGGGAGAAAGAGAGAAGCAAGAGAAACAGTGAGAAAGAAAGTGAGTCAGGAAGAGCGTGAAGGGAAGGAAAGCCAGGCCAGGGAGCCCCATCCTTGTTGCACAAAGGGCCTCATTGTGAGGCTCCTCACTCTTTCCTCCCCTCCCTGCCTCCATCTCTTCCTCTCTCACATATATCCTCTACTCACTCTCCAGCTTACTTCCCTACTCTCTGCTGCTTTTCTTTTAATAAATCCATTTTGTCCTGGTTCTAAAAGGAGGACATTTCTGGCAAATCAGAGGGAGGCCGACTGCTCTAAAACCGTCTTCAGTTCCTGTGGGAAGGAGGTTACTGCAGGTCACTCTGTCTGGCACTTATACTTAATGCGACCTGTGGAAAATGACCGGCAGAGGACTTCTCAGTCATCCTGGTCATGGCAACCAAAAAAACAGCCTAAATTGGAAGACGGACAACGACACACAGCAACCCAGGACTAACCACCTTCCTTTTTACAACTTTCTCCATACTTTGATGAAGGTTTTCATTCATATGATTCCTTGATTTGCTTAGATTAGGGAACTGAAAGACATCCTCAGTTGTGATGAAACATTTGCAGAAAAATAGGACTCTTTAAAGTGCAAAAGTAGTTTCCTCAATGTTATGGATTTGATTCTGTGTTTGTCCAGATGGTGAAGTATATGAATGGTTAGAAAAGATTGTTTTCACAATAAAAGCAAAGTAACATAAAAATAACTTAAAAATGAAGAAGGCACAACAACACCTCCTAAAACACCTTTGGTAAAACAATGTAAGAACGACCGCATTGCTGAATAAATGAACCCGAAGCAAGTAAAAGGGTTCCCTCATTCGTTCATCATTCAACTTTGTTTTACTCCATCAGTCTTGTTGAAGTTTCTCACCGGCTTGTTGGAACGTAACCATGGTTGGTGGCGTGGTGTGGACCGGCAGGGAACGCGTCCTCTGTACAGAGCTGTGGCTCCTACTGGGCATGCTGTTACTTCCTCCAGGGTTGGCGAACCATGGACCCTAAGGGGGGGAAAAAAATCCAAACCTTTAATTATTAAACTGTTCAGTTCTGGTGATTGATAAAGTTCTAAAAATTTTAGACTCAGTTTAACATGCCTCCCTACGATTTATCACACATTGTAAGCCTCGCACACACCACTGTGAATTTTACATACGGTACATGTGGGCTGGCCAGCATTAGAGACTCGTAGACTCACTCACTGGTATATGATCATTTATAAGGGTATTCTGCGTCTGCTCCCCTCATACCTCTGTGACTACATTCAACCAAGAGTGGCTGGACTGTATTCTCTACGTTCTCAAGTCTTTGCTTCTGTCTGTACCTAGTGTCCGCACTGAAGCTGGAAAGACAGCTTTTCAGTACTCTGCCCCCACAGCATGGAACAATCTTCAGAAAGACTGGAAGTTGAAGGATTTGATTCCAATCGGACATTTTAAACAATTGCTCAAAGGTTTGGAAATGAGATCTATGGTTTGTAACTGTTTGATGAATTTCTAATTATAGATAGATGTAATTGTAAACTGTAATGTAATCTTTTGCCGCTGTCTTGGCCAGGACTCCCTTGAAAAAGAGATTGTTAATCTCAATGGGACTTTTCCTGGTTAAATAAAGGAATAAATAAATAAAAAAAAACACAGAATAATCTTTCATATCACAGCATTCTTTTTATTGACTGCGCCGGCTCCCTATGTGTCAAAGAATAGATATTAACATTTTGTTAACTGCCTGAAAGGCACCAAATGGTCTCTGACAGACATGTAATGCAGATCCTTAAGGTCATAATAGATTTGCTACTAGCACACCTCTGGAGCCCCTGTAAACCTGACATGTGACCAACCTGTTGACTCTTAAAAAAAACTTGATAGATTTCCATAGTTTTCTCTACCTTTCAAATGTATCTTGTTTTGTTATGTTTGTTTTATAATGAGATATTACAGTTTATTTCATGTTTATGTTATGTGAACGGAGAATTTAAATTGTGACATACAAATACATTTGCCTTAGCTTAAAAAGTAATGTCAAAGTTAAGAAATATCGAAAATAAAAAAAAATAAAAAACTGTCTTATTTAACAAGGAGGAGATCAGTGGTTTTCATTCACGCAGCATTTATTGATCCTTGCAATGGAGAACAGATGCAGTCTTGATGTTCTGTCTTTTCTGGTCAGACAAAGGATTTCATTAACTGCTTAACACTGGGGTTTCACATACAACATTAAGTTACAGAGAGTTTTCCACAAACAGAAGGATGTTCAACAACCTTGAACCCACTTTGAACCCTTTCCGAAACTAGAAAACAGCATCTCATTTGTGATAAAGATAGGCCTCTTACCCTTACCTGTCTAGCAGGTGTGCATCATGAGTGAATCTTTTTTAATAAGAGGAAAAAATGAACTGGCATTCAGAATTTGATATGTAGGAAAAGAGAATAGATGGAACACTTATTTTTCCCACAATAAAGCCTAGAAAAATATGTGACACTATTTCAGATGAAATGACTGCAGTTTTTTTTATGTGACATATAATTGGCTTTTTATGCTCTGAAAGGCTCTGTTCAACTTAAAATTGCAACGTTTAAAAACATTTTATGATGATAGATCATAAAACAGTCACATGTGAAATGTTATGATCCTAAACTAAGCGAAGCTCCAGTAAGAACAATTATTGTAATAGTTCCAGACCTTAAAAGAAAAAATGTATTTATTTTTATATTTGGAAATCCGCCATTTTCCCACTTATCAGTGCAGCTGGGGATCTGTGATGCTGTGGGGCCTTTTCTCTTTAAAAGCACTAGGAACCTTGTTAGTCTGCCTAAAAACACGTCATCATTTGGTGTTGTAGCAGGACAATGATTAAAAACACAAGAAAGAATCTTTCTATGTCCATTTCAGTCCCCAAATTAAATCCTACAGAAATCCCCAATAAAAATGTACTTTTTGGTACAAGTAAAGGAAAACCAACATAAATGTTTAAGCAGCGTTAGGCATATACTGCCCATAATTCTTCCCCTTAATCAACTAGTCTTTTTAATGGCCCCAGCATTAAAACAGACACATTAACACAAAAAGTCATGTTTCCTTTATTTGTTTTACTACTTTTTTTTTTTTTAGCAAATCCCTACTAATGCAACAAATTCTTCAAATAGAAAGAAGCTCAAAGTATAAAAGCATAAAACATTGTATCCCCCCCACACTGCTTCCTCTTTTAGAGCTATGCTTAATGACAGGTCTCAGATGCTGCACACATGAATTCCTCAGCGTAACCTGCCCATTATCCCCTCCCTCACCGCACCCCATCCATCACCCCTCTCCCCCTCACGGCCCTGCAGCACCGTGGGCCAGCGAAAAACAGGAAATGCCTGTGCACTGTTCTCACTATATCTCTCCCTCTCTTTTCTCTCCATATACTCTACCTCTCTTTCCCTCTCTTATTGCTCCACCTCTTCCAACACCACAGCTAAATCTCCCAAACTATGACTCACAGTTTTCCTTGCCAGACGTCTTTTCTCCTTTTTCTTCCCTGCATAACCACTTTTAAAGACAAGGAGGAACTGAGGTATTTCCTCCCATTGTGGAAGAGAGTAGAAGAGTAGAAGGAGGGAGGAGGAAAAAAAAGGTTTGCTCTGAACTGGGTTGGTTCAATCCAAAGTAAGGCAGGACAGGCCAAAACCCCTCTGCAGCTCTGCCCGTTTCACCGCTGTTCAGTGACGCAGAGCCTCTGGTATGTGGAGTGACCTGCCTATGAGTTCCATTCACCTCACTTCATTCTCCTACACACAAACACTACTCATCTTCCTCATCCTGCATTTCTTCGTCATGGAAAACGATTAAAACAAAAATATTTCGGGGAGACGACGTGCTGAAAAGGAATATCAGAGCCCAGGTTGTTCTAACCATCCTGGAATGTATCACTACACAGCTCGGGAATGTTCCCCTTTAACGTCAAATACGCCTTCACAAAGGAAAAAGAGTGGATTATCAATTCAACTGCTGCTTCTGTAAAGTTACCTCATTAAGAAAGTCTTTTCCATGGACCTAATTGAATGAATTAAAAACAAAGTCAAAAGAAGCAAAAAATTATACTTTAAACAGAAACAGGACAATCATATTGGATTTCTGTTTTATATCAGCATGACTGACTTAACCATCAAGTGTCCACCTTATCTTAAATACTGTCCCAGGAGGAGATAAAACCATCTTCAGATCTATTTATTAGTCCTACACCTATTAAACCTACAGCTCTATCCGGCCTTTACTTTGAACTTTAAGATCAACTTTTACATTTTATTTCAGTCATAAATATTAATAAGGTCATTTTTGATGAGAATTTTAACAATCATGTTGGAACTGAAAGTAACACTGTGGTCTTTACTGCTCTCCTTGGTATCTAAAAACACTTCCTGTCCTCATATTTTTGATCTTGTGTGATATGTTGCATTGAATCTGAGAAAATAATAGTTTTCTTTGACCATGATAACCTTCAAGCTTAATGCAAAGACATCCCTTATGAGAAAATAATAGATACAGATATTTTTGTACATCAGTAGTATATTGACTATATAACTGGTTTATACTGGAATTAGTGGAATGAATCCTTCCTTATACGAATGATTTCTATATTGGATCCGTTTTCCTGCAAAGTGACTTGAGATTTATTTTATTCATAATTTGGAGGAATAAATAATACATTTTACTAAAAAGAATTCAATTAGTTTGTGTTTAAACCAAAAAAAAAAAAAAGTGATTATGATTAGTAATTAAAACTAAACTAAAGTTGCAATGGTCTACATAGACAGAGGTATTCCTGGTTGCAGGATTAGCAGAATACCCCCCATACATCATATTCTTGCTTCCTGTTCTCTCCTGTTTCACTTACATGTCTCCCCTGCTTGGGACCAGTTGGGGTGCTGCTGGAGCTGCGAGGCGTGGGTCCCAGCAAGCCTCCACTGCCCAGTAGACCAAGCCTGGCCCCAGGCAAACTCCTGGAAGGCATGTGGAACTGGTGGAGACTCCTCCTGGCTGACACGCTGCCTCCAACACAGCTTGCAGTAGGGAGAGAGTTTGACTGACCAAAACGACTGGTGGACATTAGACAAATTGGACAAAAGGGAGATACAGATGAAAAGAGAGCTATTGAAACTATTCAAAAATACATTTTCTCTCACAGATAACATGGTTTGCCAGTAAGTGCAAACCTACCTCCTCTGAGGTCGGTACCCTGCAATGTCAAGGAGTGTTTTCCGTGGAATGGACCGGAAAAGCCTCTGGACCTGTTGTTTCCAAGACAACAGCCTCTTCTTCTGTGTCTCTGTGAAGGACTGAAATGTGTACAGGTAGAGAAAAACACCAGTTATTAGTCAAGAAAAATGCAAATCATCACACAAAATTTAAACGATATTCTTAAAGTTTGAACCCCAGAGGTTCCGCCACACTTTGAGTGCTAATATACTGACAAAATATGGAAACTGTTCTTTCATTTATCACTGCAAGACATCAATTTATTTTCCAGAACTTAACTTACCTCATGGATGAGACATTTATCAATCAGCTGCAGGTAGGAGCTGAAGTTATCTTCATCTGACCGTGATACAAGGAGCTGTGTACAAACTAAGCGTAACAAATAAATAAATAAATAAATAAGGCTTTATTGCCATGTGAAAAGCCTCAATAGGAATGTTGGTGAATGAAGCTCACCTTTGCCCATGACACGAGTGAACTGACCAGGTAGATCCCCCTCAGCGATGACACTAGCACCAGACTCGGCTTCACCTCCACCCCCTCCAGAGAGATTGGAGTCGGATGAACGCTTCGTCTCAGGATTCATAACGCTACGCTGCAAAGATGACTCTTCCCCTCCACTGAAGGCCTTAATAGGGGTTATGATCATCTGGTGGAGTTCCTGAAGAGGGGTGCGTAGATTTCCACCCTCTAAGACGTCCTGGAAGCAGTAAGTAAACATAGAAATACCAAGAATGTTTTATCAATTTTTAAGTTTTCTTTTACCAAGCCTATAGAGATATCGTTTTTTTAAACAATCTAACTGGGAGAAGCAATGATTGGTCTTAAGCAGTTTACCACTCCTATGGCGTTGAGATGTTCCTTAAGGCTCAAATTTTACTACCATTTCTTTTATTTTACGGCCTAAATCTAACAATGGTGAACTTGTATGTGGATGATGTGGATATGCTCTTCACTATTGGAGCTCCATACCCATAAGAACATACGGTCATGAGAAAATATCTTAAAATGTAGATACTGCATAACTTGAAGGTGACAAAGCTTCAGTGGATCTCATCCCTGCTTTTTGCAGATGATTTGGTCTGCTGGCTCCCTCCTGCAAAGATCTACAGCATTATATCTAGTCTTATTTCTTTGAATACATCCACAACATTCCTGCTATGACTATTGGTAGTAATAACAGAGGTTGGTAGCTATTAATGAATCTGGTTAGAATTCTAGAGAGAATTTTATAGAATTTCAAAGAATTTTAGCCAGACCATGGTCAAGTAAATACCTTACAATAGAGGACTTTTATTGACCAAGATATTAACAATAAAAAATATGTTCCTGAAAGCAGACCATAAAATGCTAAAATAAAAAACGTCAGTTCCTACACATGATGGAAAGCACTTACTTCTTCTATCACAAAAACACAAAATAAGATTAATTTCTATGAAGGTTTGTTTCATCTTGTAAAAAAAAAAGGGGGCATATTGTGAATTGTCTGAAAGAACATAGAAAAGACCAGGAATTCTGGAATAATGTTCTTTAACAAGGCAAGTCTAAACTAAATTATTTTTGCATCACAAGGCAACACATATTTGACTTAAAGATTTTGATAAATAAACCCTCAAAGTTTGGAAGATTAAAATTATGAGATCTACAATAATTCACATATATAAGGGGGCTTGAGAAAGAAGTTGGTGAACATTTGTGAAAAAATGTGGCAGGACCAAGCCGAATTTGGCCTCGTCACATGACAATGATCCGTAACATACCAGCAAACCCAGGGGCCATGATTTTAACAATTAAATGTCTTGACCCAAATAAAGCCCAGATCATTATAGATGTAAATGAAGGAAATCGCTCAAAACTTCTCAGCTGAAAGTGAAAAACAGGTCAAACTTGTCTTAAATCGATGTCAGACACTGGTCGACTGCAAAAGGAACTTCTCATCTAAATGGGGTAACACTTATATGCTGCTCAGTGTCATTGTCTTACTTTGAAGAGTTAGAAGGAAGGATGTAGGATGAGCCTAAACCTCTCCCTTCAGGATTAGGGGTTCTGTTGTTAACAATCTTAGAAATAATAACACCTACAGAGACTTTTTCATTTTCAAACACCACCAACAGGTGGTGTTTGAAAAAGGTTATCACCATACTTTTGAATTCAAAAGTTAAATCTACATGAGCAAATTTCTTGCATGAAAGGAAACATGATGTTCTGACCTTTTCCAGGCTGCGAAGGAGGTTCTGCCTCTCTTTGAGTTTCTGAATGCTGATTACAATCTTGTGTCGAGCTCCTTTGGTGACCTTCTGCAGCAAGAAACAGAATCACATTTTAAAATATGAAAAAAAAAAAAATAACATCATGAATTTTAAGATGTTTTAGTGTGGGTCTTCATTATATCACTCAGGAAGAACTGGCAGCACCTGGAGGAAGTGGACTGCTTCCTGGACAGCTGTTGCTGAATTAAATTTAGCTGCATCCAGCTTTTAATAATAGATTCCTCAATGCCTTCTTCCACAAGTAAAGCAGCTGTTATATTTGTTCTGCAGGACGTATTTCCAACATAAGTCACTTTTTAAGTCAGTAACAAGACAGCAAATACTAAGATACTTTTTAAATGTAGCTAGGGGACAGCTGGGAGAAATCACCTACATTTCTATATATGCAATGGAATCTAAATGAGCGATTTCTCTGTGACAGGCTTTGGTCATGATCAAAGCTGTAGATGAATAATTTGCATCAAAAGCCATGTTTTACAAATCACTTTCTTATTGGCACACCCAACACAGATTTTATTTAGGACAGCTTTCCCTGCAAACACCACGCAATGAACCCAACAAGCAGCTAAGGTGTCCTGATTCAATCGTTGTGTTCCAGCTGAAGAACAAAAAGTCCTACAAGTAGCAGCAAGGAAGTTTACAGGTATTGCTACCCACTGGAAGGAATTTTATTGCACACTTTACTGATGTTTACATAGACCATTCAGGTGTTAAGAGCTCTGCTGTTTGATAACCGTTTCAGAGCTAGATAAACTTTTGCAAACTTGTCAGGTGACCTGCTTTTCCCCAGACATAAACTCAGTTTTTTTTCTTTGATATTAAAGGCATAAACGATATGCATGATATGGTGTGCATGGATTAATGTTGAGGGAGTAGTTTAAATTATTTATAGTGCATCTTTACAAACTATACAATCTACTCTGGTGTTAACTGCAGGTTAACTATAGGTTTATAAAGCCATTTTATTAAGAGTCCAGAACCTGTTTGAATGTGAGGCACATCGGACATGTGTTCTTGCTAATAGTGTAACAAAGCATTGCCACTAATGGCATGTTTTAAAGTTTTGTTAAAAGGGAAAACTTCAATTGTTTCGGAACCCCTACACAATTACTCTGCAGTACAGTAGCCTGGTTTAAGCACTGCTGTCTCTCTGTACAGCAGAGGTTTACAAACCTGTGCTTCTAGTTGTTCCTCCGTTAGTGACATCATCTCGTCATAGGTTAATGTGGAGAAGAGCGCGGCGTACTTGTGGAGACGAAGACTCTTGAGCCAAGCAGGAACATCTGTGGAGAGACTGAAGATTTTATATCTGGACAAATCTTCCAATAATTTTTTTCATGCTACCAGAGACATTTTCCTAAACAGTGTCCTCGTTTAAGCTCAGGCTGAATTAGTCAAAAGGTTCAACTGATTTGTTGCTGATGAAGGCTGAGTGAGACCTTAACCCTTTATTTAGTCACAAGTGTCTTTACATGAGAGAAGCACCATGTCAGGATTTAGAAAATCTGACTTCAGACGGCAACCAACAGAATGAGTGGTCTGCCTCACTCACCCCTCATCCCGCTGCCGTCCTCATGGAACGAATTGCGATGAAGACTTGAACTGCCTCCTAAACCAGCATCTTCCAGATGTTCGCTGCCCCCACTGCCTGAGGAGGCAATGCTACTCTGAGGGGAGAGGGGAGCATGGTCGGGGGCAGGGCCTCTGCTAGTCCGAAGGTCCTCTTGGGACAGCCAGACGTGGCCCAGAGGCTGGTTGTTGGGGCCACTGATAGGAGGCGTAAGGGACACGGAGCGCTTTAGGGGACTGTGTTGCTGACTTCCTCCTCCACTTGTAAGAACTGCAGAAAAAAAGTAAACTAACATCACCTGGAAGTTTAAACTAGATAATAGCTTTTTAGTCCTTGATGGTCTGTTAGGGGTATTTGCTTGATAGGAAATTAATTTAGTTTCTTGAGAGCAAATATAAATATATATTCTCGTTTTTGATCATTGTCCTATCACCTTTGCACTAATTTGACACCAAGCATCATGTAGTTCACAAGCATCACTGCAACTGGATCAACAAAATGTCACCAAAATGTCTAACTGATTCAACTAGCAACTGTCTGACTTCTTGGAGCACTGAAGTTTATATCAAAGATGGTCTGTTAATTAAAAAGAAAGAGATAAAATGAGACAATAATTTATCCTGTCATTACACAGCAGAGTTTATTTTAGAATATGCACAATAGTTAGAACAGGAGCACAAGGGACAGTTTTTTTTTTTTTTTTTATAGTTTAGAACCCTGCACCCCTGTATTGATAGAAAAGGACAGCATACATAGCAAGATTTATTTAACTACAGACTTAATACCATCTAAAACTCCACATTTAATTTTTAAATCGTGGGAAAGAAACAGCTTTCCCAGACATGCCTCTAAACGCCAGTTTGCCTTTTGGTAAAGACTAGCTGTTTTTGTAGAGACCCAGTGATCCCTAGATATCACTCTTTGCTGCAGTTTGCCGACAGTGAGATGCTGTTTTAACCATCAACCCCTCTTTCTATGGTGGGAAGTTCTGAGTCCTTAAATGTCTTTTAAAATGGGGACAGTAGGGGGATGGAAGCATGGTGGTTAAAACAGGCTACTTGCGTTCTGGGAAGGCTGCAAGGTCCCGCCACCCTGACTCTCTGTGCAAAACCAAAAAGCAGAGGATTCTCCATGGGCTTTGTAGAGTGGCAGCACACAGGTCCCTAAAAGATGGATTCTTTCAACCTTGGCTGCTTTTCTTCACTTTCACTTGAAGTTCCTGACCATTTTCAAAAGTTTTTTTGTTCCCTAAGCCACTTTAATATGACCCATGAATTTCATAAAACACTCAACCCAAGGGACAAACTTAAACACATTAAAGTAAGTGTGTCCTTTTAGGTGCTCATAAATAGAGGTCACCACAGAAAGCCATTATGACTTCCTAACTGACAGGACAGAGATAGATGCCCTTCTAGAAGCAACCAGGATTTGAACCCTGGTTGCCTCACATGACAGCCAGAGCCTTTAACCACTCAGATAAGCATTTTTGTTTTATTGGCCCAATGGCTTTATGTCCGTTATTAATATCCTAATAAATAATACTAAAACTTTTCCACATTAAATTTGTTTAATCTAAATATGATCTTTTAGCAAATGGCTACACACAAACCAATATGCGACAAAATGTTTCTTCTTCGTCTCAGAGCTGTTTGTGACCTTTCTTTCGTTCACTGATGTGCTCAGCGGCTCCTGAGGTATCTTGGTCCATCTTGTATTTTTCCCCAAAGACTCTTTGTTCCTCCCCCTGATTACTTTGAATTCTGCATGTCTGCATTGCATTTTACCCTCTAAAAACATTTAAAATTTTATTACATGTCTTTTTGGACAAAATTCCCATGTTCTGCTCTGTATTTTTAATGCTAAATGAATTACTAACGAGACTACAGGATGGATTGACAGGTAGTGTCAAGTCAGTTGGTCCAACCATTGCAGTCAGTGTTCCTGGACTTGCTCTTAGACGCTTGGCAGGCGCTGGCTTTGTTCTCATACCGTGTGTTTTGTATTTTAGACAGATTTTTGGATTCTAATGTAATAGAACCCCACATCTATAAACTGTCATGCGCACCTGATTTCTTTCTAAACTCTCCTTTCTCATACCCATAATCTGAATCTATGATCGGAATCTAATTTATTTCATAAAGTTACAAAACATATGCCTCAATAAGGTGATATCCAAGGAGAGGTTTGCTAAAAATGAGGTGAATGGTGGACAGAGGGATAAACACTCTCCCAGGTCTTTGTGTAGCTTCTGATAGAAATTTCCCAGCATTTAAAAACTTTTTTAAATAACATTCATCAGTTAATAACTGTACACTTTAGTGCTTGATCATTATTGTTTACCCCATATAGATCTATTTAAAAAATTACTTTAAAATTAGACACCTTTACAGAATGGACCTTTCAATAAATCCAATTCAAGATTTCATAAAAAGAAAGTATTTTATCTCAGGATGGTCTGGTGGATGAAAATTAGGTGTAAAAAAAAGTCTGAGAATATAAATGAAAACACAAATGATTTAGATAGAAGGATAGTGTCATGAACAGCGACAGACTTCATGCTTTCCTGCGAAAATAAAACAATAAAAGACATCCCAACAACCTGGAGACAGCTTGAGGGTGTAAACAGGATAAAAAAGGTGTCGGGCCAAAGAGCTTTTTGTGTCGCCTCTCTGGCGGGGTTGGCTGCCACCAATACTCCTGTCTGCTCCTAGTCCTATATGTGGTCCTCTCTATCTATAGGACTTCATGAAGACTGTTTAAAATAGATGCCCAGCTAACATTTCAAGTTCCAGTCCCTAAATATTAGCCATTTTCTCTAAATACAGTCCGCCACAAAGGCTGCCTTACAAGGGAATGGATGGTTGGTATGTGCTCTGTGGCTCGGACTAAAGCTGGGGTGGTCATCTAGATGTTCCATCAGTAACGGATGGGTTGATGTGCTCCGACAATTACATTCCTGAAGTCATCACACTGACCAGAAACACACAAAGCTGAGGGACTGATCAGTGGAACTACAAACTCATAGTGTTACACAACAATAATAGCGACTAGACTGTAAACACCAGCCTTAGATCTAAATGATATAGATTTGATGCCAGAAACTCTGATAACGAGCTCCTTTCAGTGACACCTCCTCCCTCCAACCCCATCCAGGGTAACTCTAGTTTATCAGTTGTGAAATCCTGAGGTCTTTGTGTGGGTCTGAGGCTTCAAGCAGCCCAGAATACAAGAGTAAGTACATTTATTTATAAACCCCCTCAGCTGTTTCTTTCATCTTCCAGAAAAAGAAAAAAATATCCACAGAGCCCTCGCATTCGTGTCTGGAAATATCCTGCTCTGACCATAGTTATGCTGAATTTCAACAACCCTGCCCTCCCAGCGTGTTGTCTACATGTAGACTCTCTGTAGCTGCTGTGTGGGTTGTTGAGGGGAGCCACTGGTCTGAACAGTCCAGAGTGTGTTTCCTGTGCCGACTATTTAAGTTTGGTGTTTGATTAGGCTTTGGGAAGCTTCAAGCCTCTGGAAGTGACTGAGATTAAGCTTTAAAGGAATCCCAGCAACCTTAACGCCTTTTTGCAGCCATGGTAAAGATGCCTAAAAAGCCTTCAAATAAAATCAATCCAGTTGGAAGTGGAAAAATCTTACAAAAAAAAAAAAATCTGAAAAAAACAAACTACTTTGACTGCATGAACTAATCCCAGGATTTGCCAGCATATCAGTGTAAATCAGCAGCGAAACTTTCTCTCAGTTTTTGGGATAACATTTCGACACCGATCCAGGAGTCTTTGTCAGTTCTGTTGGTTGGCACAGAAATGACAAAGAATCTTTTTTTTGCTTTCTATTAGAAGCCACCAGATTTTTATTGAATAAATATATTTAGAATACAGATTCACAATACCTTGAATTATAACCTGAATATAAGTACATTTGAGAGAAAAACAGACCCACAGCATCACTGGGCCTCCCATGTGCTTAATGAGTATGAGCTCGTCATAAACACATCCATCCTTTGTTTTTCATCTAACTCACATTGAGGGACTCTAACAGGATGGTTTGGTCATATGAGACAAATACCCCATTTACACTAGCCTTATGAAACCATGCAGCGCATAGTACCCCAGATAACTGTTGAATATGAATGGAACTCAACTGAATTGGACCATGCCAGACACATTACATCTAGTACTAGTTCAACATTAGGGCTTGGCGCAGTTCAGCTGTGGCTCGGTTCTCTGATAACAAAGAGCGCATGAGCAGACCGCGTCATCTCCTATACACAGTTAGCTGACTCCTCACAGGTTTTCCGGCATGCCCAGCTTTGCAATTCACAGATCTCTTCACCTGTTTACAAAATGAACTTCTTCTAAACGGCATAATAGGATCTGCGGTGGGACCTGGGATGAAGCAGAGACCGAGGCTCTCACTGAAATTTGGACAGAGGGCGCCATCAAGGCACATAAGTTCCTAAATGTTATGGGCACTGGTATTTTTGTTTGCTTAATCCCGCCTTGAGAGGTGTAGTATCTTTGACCGCCGATAGGAGGCGAGGAACGGTGCTAGCGT